TTAAATTGTTATTAGACCAAAAAATTGAAAACATTGAATTATCATTCCTTTTTTTTATAACCACCGGTTTCCAATCTATTAGTCGACTAATTCGGATCAGATACTGCAGAAGCGAGGGCGACCCTCCAAACCCAGTTTGCTCTATTTGCAATCGCCAAGATTCGAACCACTGACCTTGCTTAAGTGATCTAGTGTTTCATCCCGCTAGACCAACCATTTGTTGGTATTGAATTATCATTCTTTAGTTTGCCCCTACTTGATTAAATATCTAATAAATTCCTATATTTCTTAATTTAAATACTTAGTTTTACATTAATTAAAATACTATTAAATCAAAGCTATCAAACATCAAATAATTTTATAGGGCTGGAGCCCTTTAAGCCCTAAGAGATCCCCGTTTCTGGTTACGTCTTTAAGATATATGTTTTCAATAACTAAAAAAAAGATTATAAACACGTATTAATGTGACATATACCTCAAATCATTTTAAGATCTGCATCACTTCCGGGGCTCAACTGTACTTTTAATTCGATCTAGGTAGGAGTACTCGATACTACTCAATCTATACATAGAAAATCAAAATTTTCAAGTAGTTTGGGAGCTTGTCCGTGTTACATAGTTCTTGATATACTGTCGCCAATTATAGTGATGACTGATGAAGCATTTGGGATAAAAAAAAAGATTAAGATTTTGTTTTATTAGGTCAGAGATTAGAAGAGTCGGGCCTCATTGTTTCTTTGAGAGTAAACATGTAGCCCCCACAAATTTAATCTCTTCAGGCCATAGGTAAATTTTATCATATATAGTTACATATATATTTACGAGGGAGGTGGAAACTTGCTGTAGAAAAAGAAATTTATAATAAAACTGATGAATAATATATGATGAACTCCTCGTTGAAACTTGCAGAACTTTTTATGGATGATTATGCATATATTTCTTCTTCTTCTTCGTCTTCATCTTTTTAGTTAGTTAGGTTTTAGAGTTCGAACGATGATTAACATATAATCTTATTACTCGAATAATATGATCTTTCGGATTTTTTTTTTTTAAAAAAATGAAGAGTTTTGGTATGCAATCAAAAGCATGCAATGTGATTATAAATGCATAGTTCAACTAAAAAGTGGCCACTAGGTTATTATCGTACTAAACTCCAAAGTTTTGAAAATAATAATATTCAATTGTATTATTGACTAACAATATAATTAGAGAGCTATAATTATCATTATAGCATTAATAGGTATGAATGCTCAATAATTGGTCGATAAGAGTTGAAATATATGGGCCCGTATTACTATTTTGAACAATTTATTATTAATAATATAATTTAATAAACTAAATATATTTTATTATATCTATAAGCAACCCATCACCTGATTCAATTTATTGCTAATCTATAACCTACTTGACAAATGTTTGGCTTAGAAAAGAATTATAAATATTTAAATTATATAATAATATTATTATTTTTTTCAATTATCATGCTATAGCGATCTTTGCCTTATCTTCTTTTTTTTTTTCATTTGACAAAGATGGGTTGATCTCCTAGACAATGAAAGATAACAATTTTAAAATATTTAAATAAAGAAAGATATTTTATTTTATTTTTCTTTCAAACTATATAAGAAGTAGGGTTGAAAAGGTAATAATTAATATCTCATTCCTTAAGTTTTTTTATATATATATAGAATGATATATAAAATTTTCAAAGCACTGACCAATTGATAATCGATACATATATCTTTTCCATTAGTTGTCTTGTACATGCTTAGTTAATTTAAGAACTAATTTAAATGTTTAAATTATTTATATTTTAAATGAACATAATTATTTTTAAATATTTAAATAGAAACCAAATATTTAGGAAATATTAAATGTGGGAGTCTTTTTCTCTATGATAAGACAATAGCTAAGTATATTTCATGACCTAGCTAGAGGTCACACAAATTGATAATAAGAGACTACCTCACAAAATTAAATGGCCATTAATGGGACCATTTCACTATCATCAAATGGAATCATTGTCTTAAAACCACACAAATTAAAATCCCTTTAATGTCATTCCTTTCCAAGAGAAACGTACAAAACAACTTTATAATAATATTTCACATCATTTACCAGTTAATTTTGGAATATATTGTGAATTTAATAAAAATAATATTCAAATTTTCTTTTTTTAAAATGAAGTTTTGACAAATATTTTTGTTTGATTTATTAATATGAGGAAGAAAATGAGATCTTGACATAGAATAAAACTTAAAAATTCATAAAGTATAACTCATCGAGTGATTTTATTGGTTGAGGGAAATATTATTCTTCCTAAAGATCATGAGCTTGAACAGTTACATTCAGGGGCGGAGTCAGGATTAGATATAGGAAGGGGTCGAAATATTAAACTTTTTAATAAAAATACAATCACTTACTAAGTATTTAAACTTATGATTCAGAAAACAATGTCTAATTTTTCTAATAATTAAATTTATAATGACTTAAATTGTTATTAGACCAAAAAATTGAAAACATTGAATTATCATTCCTTTTTTTTATAACCACCGGTTTCCAATCTATTAGTCGACTAATTCGGATCAGATACTGCAGAAGCGAGGGCGACCCTCCAAACCCAGTTTGCTCTATTTGCAATCGCCAAGATTCGAACCACTGACCTTGCTTAAGTGATCTAGTGTTTCATCCCGCTAGACCAACCATTTGTTGGTATTGAATTATCATTCTTTAGTTTGCCCCTACTTGATTAAATATCTAATAAATTCCTATATTTCTTAATTTAAATACTTAGTTTTACATTAATTAAAATACTATTAAATCAAAGCTATCAAACATCAAATAATTTTATAGGGCTGGAGCCCTTTAAGCCCTAAGAGATCCCCGTTTCTGGTTACGTCTTTAAGATATATGTTTTCAATAACTAAAAAAAAGATTATAAACACGTATTAATGTGACATATACCTCAAATCATTTTAAGATCTCTTTATCGATTAAGGGAAGATTTCAAATCGAAACGTTCTTTATAAGAAATGGTGAGTGATTCCCAATCGTAGAGAGAGTTGAACTTATGCCATTATTCATGGTGATATGTGTTATGTCAAAGGCTAGTGGTTTGAACTAATAACCAGTTGGTCTAGTGGGATGAGATTTTTCTACCATTAATCTCCGTTCATATATATATATATATATATATATATATATATATATATATATTATATATATATATATATATATATATATATACGCGCTAAGGGATGCATTTATTTTAGGAAAAACCTTTGGTAACTAGTCTATAATTTGTGCAATAAGTTAAATTGTGTGTGTATGATGGATTTTAAAAGTATAGGTATGCCTATTAAAGAAAATAAAAGTATACGTATGATATACGAATACATTGCTTATACATAGATGCAATGTACATACGAATAATTGTGGTATACGCCTATGCTTAACGTATACGTATGTGATGAAAATGAATATGTACGTGATGGATAAGAGATTGACAGTGAATCTATTAATCCATCTGTATTTCTTTTCACATTGTTAATGCTTTAGTTAATCTTTGATGACGTGTTCAGCAGTTATTCAAATTACAGTTGCGATTCGCAGACGTAACAAGTACTACTACAATGATTGTAAGTATTACGGTCATATAATAATAATTACGGAAGATATTGTTACCGCTGTATAACGAGCGTAAACCGCTAGTTAAATTTCTGGTGTGCAATATTGTGGAATTGAACTCTGGATCAGAAAAACGAGAAACTGACATTTGATTCTGGCAACAGAAGGGCATCTCTGGACCACGGAGAATCTGAATTATGATCTAAACTCCAGGTTGTTCGTGGCCCATTTTATTTTATTTCCAATTTATCGGCCTAATTTGTTAAATAATTATGAAAAAATAATAATTAATAAAGTTTACAGTTAAATCTGTTGTCATAATCAAGATGTAGTTGCACAACTTGCAAAATCAAAGGAGAGATTTTTAATTAATAGGGCTGTACCTTTCCCAAATAAGAAAAATGAATATATAGGGCTATAGGCTGTATAATTGAGGGTGGCATAACGTTGAGTGTTGAAAAAGTCGGATCCCAGTTGGAATAAGATCATATCTTCAATTAGTATTGAGCTTAGGGCTAAAGGGTAAAGGCCCATTAAATTTTGGATTTTCGGATAATCCAAAATCAGGATTTCCCTGTCGAATATGGATAATTAATGACATCTAAATCATCATATCTGTAAAATCTAATGACAAATCATCCAGGAAGCTACTGCTCAACCTGAGCACGTGTTGAAGATATTTCCGACTCCGATGATATATCGTTCAAGTGTCGTCTGTCGGAAAGTTGGTCGGAATCCCTCAATGACAATATTTACATTCATATCGATATTCAATCTTCACGAGTAAAATTATTATCCTCAGAATTTAATTTTGAAGATGTTATAAGTATAAGCACAATCATAATCACAATAAAAAATACAAATATATAAAAAGTGACTAACCATAATTATAATCAACCATTACAAAATATGACCGAGCTAATTCGAAGTAAATCTGGATAGAGTTTGAAGAGAGTAAAGCACAGAATTTGCAGGCAATAGATGGAGGTATTTTTGACCCAATAAGGCAGTCCGAACAAAATTGCAAATAGGGTATATTTATTTTTATTATGCGATATATTGTATTTTCTATAATGCATAGAACTCGTTACGTTGAGGTGATAAATTTCAATAAAAAATATTTTTTATTTTAATTTTTTATCTTGATTTGATAAATTTTAATAAAAATATATTTATTGAAACTCATCATCTCGAGATGACAAGTTTCATGAATATTGTAGAAAATATCGTAAATCTTAAAATAAAAACTCGGGTGCCCTATCGAGGAAAAAAACATAGATAGAGGTAATTTGGGCTAAAAATAAAGTCTTTATTTTTCAAGCCTATTAAATTGGGCCTAAAGAAAATTGTTTGAAACATGGACGACAACATTAATCAGGCCCAGCTGACAGTTGGAGAAAGCAGAGAGCTTGACGAGGACGAAGCGGAATAACTAGATCCTTGGGAAACGAGAATCCATCGACAGAGAGAGAGAAGAGTTGAAGCATAACCGAAGCCAGCACTCAGAATCTCACACTCAAACACAAATTTGATCTTTTCTCTTAACATTTATGCATTTGGTTTCGTTAGTTTCTTATAGATCGGAAAGGAATAAAGGGAATGGCAAACTATTTAGCCCAGTTTCAAACAATCAAGAGCACGTGTGGCCATCTCGTCATTGCTGGTAAATCCTTCTTCTTCTTCTTTTTTGCTTTTAAATTGAGTTGAACTCTTCAAATTTAAATTTGGGTTTGGGTGTTTTTGGAATTTTTATGTTGTTGGGTGGGTGGGATCAGAGATGCCTTCACTTTATCGCTTGATTTATGATGTGGGAATTCTAAAGGTTGATGATACTTGGTGGCTTTTTTGAGATTTAATATGATGTTTGAAATAAAGAATTGGAAGTATGACGAGTTAAGTTGAAAGGGATGATTGTTGGGTGATCATGTGGTAAATGTTGTTGCTTTGAGCTTCCTTAGTTGATTTTATGAAGTCAGTACTTGATTATAATTTCTGGGGTTTTGTTAGAATTCGGTGATTTAATCGAAGCAGCTATGAACTTTGTTTGTTTGTATCAATGTCAGTGATCGTCTGGTAAATTTTATTGCTTTAACTTATTTACTGACCTTTTGCCTTGTGGATCGGTTAGAAGTATGGAATGCCAATGATTCATGGATATCTAATCTATCAACTCCAAAGTTTGCTGCTTTTCTAGTTGTTTGCAATTATAGTAATCTGTGAACCATATGTTGGAATTAGCTGGCACAAATCTGTGATCTATCTAACTATTTCGCTGACAACTGCATTACAGTTGAAGATGTCAGTGACTTGTGGCCTACAATCAAGAATAGTTTTGAAGAGCGGCTACCGTTCAAAAGAGCTTCCTTAAATAACAAGACCCGGAATGCAGTGTTTGTAGAGAATTTACAGGCTGAATTCATATTAACCACTGATGCAAGATTACGAAGCAGATTTCCTCAGGAGCAATATTTATTTTGGTTCCGAGAGCCATATGCAACTCTGGTTCTTGTTACATGTGAGGTACATTCAATATAGGTTATGACCTTTTATTAAAGGCCAACAGATTTTTAGATTCATGACCACACTTTGAGAGAAAAAAAAGATAGCTCTTTCACTTGCTTTGTAAATCTGATCATAACTCTTCGACTGAGCCTTTATAAGTAACACTTAGTTGCGTGGGCAAACCTTTTGTTTCCATGATGATATACTCAGACTTTTCTTAGTAGCTTCTAGTTCTGTTTTCTTTCTTTTATTAGTTTTAGGCCTAATATTTTTTTCCCTTGTTCATTGTCCATTTTATATATTTGCTTATTTTTTATTGACATTTTTCACCAGGATCTTGATGAGTACAAGACCATTCTAAACCACGCCTGAAATTAATTGTCCAAAATGATGAGCGTGAATGGTTTATCGTATTTGTGTCTAGAGCCCATCCAAGCAATGATCAGGCCTCTAAATTGGCAAAGAAAGTATATGCCAAACTTGAAGTTGAGTTCAGCTCCAAGAAGAGGGAAAGGTAAGGTTGCAGCTTGTATATTTTCTAGTTGAAGGCATGACTAGTATTTTATATTTATGCTGCCACTAATGACTTTAGAATTGAAATAATGTTGTATAGGTAGGACTCAAGTGTTGGTTTTAATTATAAAGTATGGCTAGAGAATTTTGTTAGTTTTAATTATAAAGTATGGCTAGAGAATTTATCACAAATTTGCTATGAGATCCCCCTCTTAGTGTTGTTGGTTATATATCCGGTCTTGAAGGTGAAGATTTGTTTCCTTGGTATGTTAAGCATCATCATCATCATCATCATCATCATTGTTATTAATTGTTTTACTACTACTACTACTACTACTACTATTACTATTACTATTACTGTTATTATTATTATATTATTATTATTATTATATTATTATTATGTGTTTAACAAAGAACTCAATACTGGGTGATGTTTCACCCATGTTACAAACCTTTGGAAAAGAAAAATGTGGTGAAAGTTTGACAAAGTAACACCCTCATTGAAACTGGTGTTTGGTTTATTCTATTCATTTTCTGATACTCGAAGTATTCTTCACTTAGGTGCTGCAAGTTTGATGTACATGGTCCTGAAGCAAATTTTTGGGAAGACTTAGAGGCCAGAATTAGGAGTGTGTCAGAAATACATTGGATACACTGAACAATTCTATGAGGATGAGTACGCAAGCTTAGTGAACAGCGTTTCAATCCAATTGGAACTTCTGTAATTTTTTCATTTTGAAGGTTTGGTCCTCTTTTGAAAGTTAGAGAATAGGGCTATGGCTAATATGGATCCAGGGACAAACATTACAATTTTCCATTTTGTAGTTTTTTCCATGTCTAAAGATTGTGAAGGAAACATGAACTTACACAAGAGGCCCTAAGTTAAATGCATATTTTTTCCTTTGAGGGATATAATCCTATTAAGTAATGAAAGAAATATACATTTTAAGTTGGTTTTCTCCAACTGTTAATGCTTCATTTTTCATTTCCTTAGGAAAGCTTGGCGTTTATGTTTGAGATGGCTCATCTTCATGAGGATGCATTGCGTGAATATGATGAACTAGAATTGTGTTACTTGGAAACAGGTGTGAAATATATATGTCAGTGTCTTAAGTGTCAGTTTTATCTTATTTTCATTTTTCCGCTCTACATCTTTTAAAAAAAAATCTATTTATGTTTCCAAATTGCATTATGATTTTGTATAAATAAGAATTCCCTTTTTAATATGAATTTGAGTGGTACTTATAGTCAAACTCCATTCTCTTGTAGTGTTTAACTTTTACCTACAATTTTCATACTTAGAAATTTGGCAGCCCCAAAATATTAACGGTGGCAGGTTGTTAATGTGATATGTCTGCATGCCTCGGATTTCTATTTTCCAGTTCATTGGTAGATAGGATATCTGAGGGCATTTGTTGTACTGCTAAATTTTGATTGGTAATTATTAAGGATTTGTCTTGAATGCTCCTCTTTATTTTGAATTCTGGTAGTTTCTTTGGGTATTCCTTGATCTTATTTGATAATAAGTGCAGTTAATATTGGTGGCAAACGTAGAGAGTTTGGAGGACTAGACCCTGGTGATGACCAGGCGGCACTGCTTATTCCTGGGAACAAACCATTGACACAGATTGTTCAAGATGACTCGTTCCGTGAATTTGAATTCAGACAGTATCTCTTTGCATGCCAATCAAAGGTTGGTACTGCTAACCCTTCATGACTTACCTTACATCGCAGTCCGACTTTGAGACTAATTTCTACTGGAATGAATTGTCTTTTGCAATTTTTAGAACTTTATCAAAATGCCATTCTCAATGGTTTATTTGGAATTGTATTTTTTTTGATAGAAGTTGGAGGTCTCATTAAAAACTCCCTTCGTATTCTTCCACATACTTAGAAGTATGTTGAAGAACAAGGAAGGGAGAAAAGAGTGCCTCATATTTTATTAAATATAATACTAAGTATGAGGTAACACCAAACCCACATGCGGGTTTCACTTGCTTTGTAAATCTGATCATAACTCTTCGACTGAGCCTTTATAAGTAACACTTAGTTGCGTGGGCAAACCTTTTGTTTCCATGATGATATACTCAGACTTTTCTTAGTAGCTTCTAGTTCTGTTTTCTTTCTTTTATTAGTTTTAGGCCTAATATTTTTTTCCCTTGTTCATTGTCCATTTTATATATTTGCTTATTTTTTTATTGACATTCTTCTCACCAGGATCTTGATGAGTACAAGACCATTCTTAAACCACGCCTGAAATTAATTGTCCAAAATGATGAGCGTGAATGGTTTATCGTATTTGTGTCTAGAGCCCATCCAAGCAATGATCAGGCCTCTAAATTGGCAAAGAAAGTATATGCCAAACTTGAAGTTGAGTTCAGCTCCAAGAAGAGGGAAAGGTAAGGTTGCAGCTTGTATATTTTCTAGTTGAAGGCATGACTAGTATTTTATATTTATGCTGCCACTAATGACTTTAGAATTGAAATAATGTTGTATAGGTAGGACTCAAGTGTTGGTTTTAATTATAAAGTATGGCTAGAGAATTTTGTTAGTTTTAATTATAAAGTATGGCTAGAGAATTTATCACAAATTTGCTATGAGATCCCCCTCTTAGTGTTGTTGGTTATATATCCGGTCTTGAAGGTGAAGATTTGTTTCCTTGGTATGTTAAGCATCATCATCATCATCATCATCATCATTGTTATTAATTGTTATTACTACTACTACTACTACTACTACTACTACTATTACTATTACTATTACTGTTATTATTATTATTATTATTATTATTATTATTATTATTATTATTATGTGTTTAACAAAGAACTCAATACTGGGTGATGTTTCACCCATGTTACAAACCTTTGGAAAAGAAAAATGTGGTGAAAGTTTGACAAAGTAACACCCTCATTGAAACTGGTGTTTGGTTTATTCTATTCATTTTCTGATACTCGAAGTATTCTTCACTTAGGTGCTGCAAGTTTGATGTACATGGTCCTGAAGCAAATTTTTGGGAAGACTTAGAGGCCAGAATTATGGAGTGTGTCAGAAATACATTGGATACACGTGAACAATTCTATGAGGATGAGATACGCAAGCTTAGTGAACAGCGTTTCAATCCAATTTGGAACTTCTGTAATTTTTTCATTTTTGAAGGTTTGGTCCTCTTTTGAAAGTTAGAGAATAGGGCTATGGCTAATATGGATCCAGGGACAAACATTACAATTTTCCATTTTGTAGTTTTTTCCATGTCTAAAGATTGTGAAGGAAACATGAACTTACACAAGAGGCCCTAAGTTAAATGCATATTTTTTCCTTTGAGGGATATAATCCTATTAAGTAATGAAAGAAATATACATTTTAAGTTTGTTTTCTCCAACTGTTAATGCTTCATTTTTCATTTCCTTAGGAAAGCTTGGCGTTTATGTTTGAGATGGCTCATCTTCATGAGGATGCATTGCGTGAATATGATGAACTAGAATTGTGTTACTTGGAAACAGGTGTGAAATATATATGTCAGTGTCTTAAGTGTCAGTTTTATCTTATTTTCATTTTTCCGCTCTACATCTTTTAAAAAAAAATCTATTTATGTTTCCAAATTGCATTATGATTTTGTATAAATAAGAATTCCCTTTTTAATATGAATTTGAGTGGTACTTATAGTCAAACTCCATTCTCTTGTAGTGTTTAACTTTTACCTACAATTTTCATACTTAGAAATTTGGCAGCCCCAAAATATTAACGGTGGCAGGTTGTTAATGTGATATGTCTGCATGCCTCGGATTTCTATTTTCCAGTTCATTGGTAGATAGGATATCTGAGGGCATTTGTTGTACTGCTAAATTTTGATTGGTAATTATTAAGGATTTGTCTTGAAATGCTCCTCTTTTATTTTGAATTCTGGTAGTTTCTTTTGGGTATTCCTTGATCTTATTTGATATATAAGTGCAGTTAATATTGGTGGCAAACGTAGAGAGTTTGGAGGACTAGACCCTGGTGATGACCAGGCGGCACTGCTTATTCCTGGGAACAAACCATTGACACAGATTGTTCAAGATGACTCGTTCCGTGAATTTGAATTCAGACAGTATCTCTTTGCATGCCAATCAAAGGTTGGTACTGCTAACCCTTCATGACTTACCTTACATCGCAGTCCGACTTTGAGACTAATTTCTACTGGAATGAATTTGTCTTTTGCAATTTTTAGAACTTTATCAAAATGCCATTCTCAATGGTTTATTTGGAATTGTATGGTTAATTGATTATATTACCGAACATTTAATTTAACTTGTTAAAACAATTTCCAAATGATTTTTTTAGCCTTCTTGAAATGTTCTGTAGGTGGTGCTTTCTTGTCATTGTTTTATTAGTTTCAGATTGCAGTTGGCATGTCAGTGTTTTTACCTAAACTATACCTCACTGATTAAATTGCAGCTCTTATTCAAGTTGAATCGTCCTTTTGAGGTTTCTTCAAGGGGTTATTCATTTATAATTAGTTTCTCAAAAGCCCTGGGTTTACATGAGGTATTTGATGAATTTTGCTTTTATCCAATAAATTTTCTTAACTGTTTTATTTTGCATTTTTTTTATAAAAAAAAAAAATCTGAATCCGCTTCTCTTGGGATTATTGTAGAGTATTTTACCCTTTTGTATGCGTGAAGTTTGGGTAATCACTGCATGCTTGGCTGTAGTCAATGCAACCAATTCTCAATATAGTGAAGGAAATGCGGCCCCTGAAATAGAAAGGCAGTTCTATCGCCTTCAAGGTGATCTTTACTCCTTATGTAGGGTTAAGGTAATTTTTTATTTCTCATTTTAAATGGAATTTCATTTGTCGTATTGTTGAACATCCACTGAAACATATTGATGATTGTGGCAGTTCTTGAGGCTTGTATATCTAATTGGATATGGAACAGAGATAGAAAGGAGTCCTGTTAATAGGTATGCACCCAATTTTTAGAGATAAAGTCCACTTTTGACTTCCACTGAATTTGGTTACTTGCTGCCGAATTTAAAGAAGGCTAGTCATGTGGTCAAGGTTGATGTTTCACTATCTCATCGTATCATTGTCTTTCTTTTTGAGCAGTGCTTTATTGAGCATGCTGCCTTGGCCCAAGCCAGCAGTTTGGCCTTTGGTTCCAGATGGTGCTGCCTCTGAGGTGCTTCAGAAAGAAAAGGCAAGTTATTGTTCCACATTTGTAGAACTCATAAGACCATCAAAGGAACACCTGTTTTTTGGGGAAAAAGTTAAACCATCTTAGTAAAGATTTACATGTTCTCTACATCGAACAAGTACTTTATGGCTTCCATTTTTTCCCATATTGTATTTTCAACATTTGTAACCTTATCGTTCAAAGTTTATAAACTGCTGTTAAGGATATGGATTTGTTGATTAGATCAACCATTGGAATAATAATATTTTTCTAGATTTTTTTAAAGCAGCCAATGAATGTTCTCATTGTTGTAGGCTCTATGTGTTACGCAGCTATATTGTCCATTAATGTTTATTTCGCTTTTAATCAGCTATACTTAATTGGTTCAGATTATTATGCAAGAAAATCCTAGAGTCAAGCCCTTTGGCATTGAGAGGAAACCCTTGCCACTTGAACCTACTGCCCTTGTACGCGAGGCAAATCGACGAAGGGCTTCTCTCTCTGCTGGAAGCCCATCTGAGATGTTTGACAGCAAACAAGGCTTTGCTGATGGGTAAGGAAATCTCAAGAACCAACGCAATGGTGCTCTTGCAATTTTTTTGAAAATGAGTTATCAGATTGAAAGTTTTCATGTCAAGAAATTTTTGTAATTAAAGGTTTTTAAATATGTTTGTATGCTGACAGATCAGCGACAGATGTATCATCAAAGACATCCCCATCAAGTAAAGCACTAGCAAATTCGATGTCTCGTACTTACTCATCTGCTGGAAGTTTTGAGGGCTCGGTCGATAGACCCATGAAGCTTGCTGAAATTTTTGTTGCTTCTGAACATGTTTTGATGCAAACAATCTCAAATCCTGATCTGCAGAAAACTTTGTCATCTATACAGGAGATTGAGGTATCAAATTGAGGCTACATGCATGTGAACTGTTCATGTTTCAACCTTTTCTTTTGTTTTAATTTTTCATTAATCTTTTTGTTGGGTTGGGGGTGTTTGCTGTGAATGAAGATTTTTACCAACAAAAAATTACACCAAAAACACTCTCCTTTGGCTATCAATTAGAGATACCTAGTTTAGACATTAAATCTTTGTTCATTTTATATTCCAGAATTTAGTTGACTGATGTGGTGGGGTACTTATATTCAATATTAATCTACACTTTTGTTTCTTTAATTCCTATTTGGGTTATGGCAGCAAAAATATATGGATCTCACTAAAGGTGCTGCTGACAATTACCATCGTTCTTGGTGGAAAAGACATGGAGTTGTCCTTGATGGTGAAATTGCAGCCGTCTGCTTTAAGCGCGGGAACTTTGACCTAGCTGCAAAGTCATATGAGAAGGTTTGCGCTCTTTATGCTGGTGAAGGATGGCAAGATTTATTGGCTGAAGTCCTGCCCAATTTAGCTGAATGTCAAAGAATACTAAATGACCAAGCTGGCTACCTGTCATCTTGTGTGCGGTTGCTTTCACTTGATAAAGGTTTATTCTCAACAAAGGAACGTCAAGCTTTTCAGTCAGAAGTTGTTAGTCTTGCACATAGTGAAATGAAGAACCCTGTCCCTCTTGATGTATCATCTTTAATTACATTTTCCGGAAATCCTGGGCTTCCTTTGGAGTTATGTGATGGGGATCCTGGTACCTTATCTGTAACTGTTTGGAGTGGCTTTCCTGACGATATAACTCTTGATTCTCTTAGTCTCACTTTGATGGCTACATTTAATGCTGATGAAGGTGGTAAGGTATGGTTCCTAAGACAAGATGATGCTAGTATGTTTTAAGCTATGTCATAGCATGATATTGACTTGGTTATTTGATGCATATTTCAGTTAAGAAGCTCTAGTGCCACTATACTAAAGCCTGGTAGGAATACAATCACCTTTCCTTTACCGCCACAGAAACCTGGTTCTTATGTCTTGGGAGTTCTTACCGGACACATTGGACACTTGACTTTTAGATCTCATAGTTTCTCCAAGGCAGGTCCAGCAGATAGTGATGATTTCATGAGCTACGAGAAAACGACCCGGCCCATCTTGAAGGTACTCTCTCTCACAAAGATTTAAGTACTTTCTTTCGTGTTATAATGGATTAACAAAAGTTGAAGATAATAATCTTCATAATCGTTTTAATAAATGTAACTGTTTCTAAATGTTAAAAAGTATAGGTTGGTGAAATTCACAACTGTAAGATCACAAAGCGATTTATGCTTTTGTTCTTTTTCATCAGTCTTTCTAATAGAACCTTCTCTTAGGTTTCCAAACCAAGACCTCTAGTTGATCTATCTGTAGCTATATCATCTGCCTTGCTGATTAATGAAGCTCAGTGGATTGGAATTATAGCGCAACCGATAGACTACTCCTTGAAAGGTGCTGTCATGCATATTGATACTGGTCCGGGTCTGAAGATCGAAGAGCCGCATTCCATTGAGATGGGAACCTACGGAAGTGCTGCTCAGAATTCGGCTGATACGTCAAATTCTGGTGATACTGGGAAAGATGGTAATAAAGACTTCGAGCAGCTAAGTCTCCTTGATGGTAAAATAGAGTTTCCAGACTGGGCCTGTGATGTGACCTCAATTCTTTGGATTCCTATTCGTGCTATTGATGATAAGCTTGCAAGGGGTTCATCTTCAGGTCCGGAGAAAAGACTAGAAAATTTCTAACGGTTTTAATTTTGACTACATGTTTGTTAGTGTGCAAAAATAAGTATATGTTTCTCCACGTGTTTGCTGCATCTGTTGGCCTGATCGTTTATTTTATGGTGCGTGCTGTGGCAGGTCCCCCGCAGAAACAAAGTATTGTGGATGGAATGCGGACAATAGCTCTGAAACTTGAATTTGGAATATCAAACAACCAGATCTATGACAAGTATTATTTCTCCTCGTATTTTTGAATTTGAATTCTCTTTAGATAAATTTTATAAAATGGTCTATCGTGATACGCAGAACCATAGCTTTGCATTTCACCAATCCTTTCCATGCGAGCACACGTGTTGCCTATCAATGCAGTGATGGTACTTTGCTTTTGCAGGTATTATGTCCTCAGTTTTCAACCACAATCACGTTTTTATGCTTTTGCATGTTACAAATTTGCTGTTACGTACTTTTTATGAAGCTCGTTGTGATTCGTGTTACTTACAGGTAATACTGCACTCCCAAGTGAAGGCCACATTAACTGTTAAAGATGCTTGGCTTGATCTTCAAGATGGATTTGTTCATGCTGGACAAGGTGATGGAAGACCAGTTTCTGCCTTTTTTCCGCTTGTAATATCTCCAAATTCAAGATCGGGACTCCTCTTCCGAGTATGCCTGGGGAAGGGAATTGCTGAAGGTACAGACATCTTGTTTTTCTACGATAGTGTCGGATATAGGGCTGTAATCTTCCACATCTCCGATTCTCAACTTCTTTATTCGCTTTAAAATTTCAAACACCGAGATTGTCCATTATTCTTATAATATTATCATTATAGAGCCCTATAGTCGATAACGTCACAGAAAAGTAATATACCCTAGCATATTACCTTATGTAAAGTAATCAACCTCTTGCTTTGACAGATGAAAATAAGTTGCAACCAGAAAGCATATTAAACATCAGATACGGAATTGCCGGTGATAGGACCATTGGGGCACACCCACCAGCGGCTGCAAAATCAAATAAAACCGAGGGTGCTAGTCAGGAATTAATCTTCCGGAGTGCTATAATCTTGCAGCGACCTGTCCTTGACCCATGCCTGGCTGTCGGGTTTCTCCCTCTTCCTTCTGATGGTCTTCGAGTCGGGAAACTTGTTACCTTGAAATGGAGAGTTGAGAGGTTGAAAGACATCGAGGAGAGCAATGTTCCACAGAACAACGTAAGTCGAAATAATCCTATTATTGTCCAAACCATTGACCTGCAGAACTCATGTTTTTTACTTTTCCAACAGGATGAGGTGCTGTATGAAGTGAACGCGAATCCCGATAACTGGATGATAGCTGGGAGGAAAAGAGGGCATGTTTCTCTCTCCCCAAAGCAAGGTAATGGTTTCATAGCCGAGTCAAGAAAGAACTTGTTTTTTACTTTTTATTTGTCGGTATATTCGTAATCGCCATTCTATTTCCGATTTCAGGTTCGAGGATATTTATTTCCATACTATGCATGCCGCTCAATGCCGGCTATGTCCACCCCCCTCACCTCGGGCTACCGGATATCGACGAGGCAAATATAAACTGCAGTCCTGCCGGACCTCACCTTGTTTGCATCTTGCCTCCTGATCTTAGTTCATCTTTCTGCGTTCCGGCATGATTGTCATCTATTTTCATCTTACAACTCGATCTCTGGTCCCAAAATTTCCACTATGTTCAATGAAAAACTGTCACAGATTTAGATTTAGACCAAAGTTTGTTCGCTTATTGTTTTTCCTTCCGATTGTTTCATGTTGTGGTTCATGTAAAGAAGAATGGTGTATCATTGTAATATGCAGACCAATGCGATTCAGTTACACACGGACTTATATAATATAAAGTCCATGACTCAGTTAATATCATGAATTATTTAGACATCAATTTAATTGAAAAAATAATTGAAGTAAATTAATTTATATTAATATAAAATTAATTGGGATAAAAATATTGTTGTGGGTATTTTTTATTCTTTTATATATAATTTTTAATTAAAAAATTAATGACTGTAAGTAATGCATCGGTATAAGTTAGTTAAATCTGTATATGGTCTATAGATAAAAAAAAATCGATTTTCAATATTGTAGGTTAATAATTTATTTTTGAATTTTGACGATATATTGATCCCTTAAGAGTTTCAGTGATAAACCCGCCTAATCCCCCACCCCTCATCAGCAAAGCCGCCGCCGCCGCCGCTACCAATGAAGTAATTGGGCGGTTTTCCCAGATTCCTTGCTCCGTTACTACTTTTTATTTCTGTCAATGGAGAAAGCTAAAGAAATTAAGTTTAACGAAGGTAGGGCAAATGGGACAGATAGTAGTAGTAAGCCCACCGTCGTAAAAAAAATTCGGGTCAAACATTATACTGCTAATTCTAACAGCAGTACTACAGCCTATATTCAGGTATTTCTTCATAAATTTTCCGATCTTCAAAACCCTAGATTATATTTAAAAATTAGGTATTCTGGAATCTGGAAACTTTTTTTAGCGGTTTTCTTTTTACTTGTTAGGATTTTGCTTTCTAGACATAAATTGTTGTGTTGGCTGATTTTTTATCTTTGTTGCAGATTTTGGGTATTGGAATGGATACTCATGATACTCTGCCATCGATTTTACTTTTCTTTGACAAGCAAAGGTTTATCTTTAATGCCGGAGAGGTAAATAATTCTTGGATTATAATGACATTTAAAAAATTACTTTTTTTGTTTGTTTGAATATTAGGTAATCTCAGTTCTAGCTTAATACAATATTGGTATAACGGGGCTTACAACGTTTTTGCACCGAACATTAGAAAACTGTCCACGGAAGTGTAGAAGTATGCATTGATGTAGACTGGACAGGTACTGTTAACGACAGACGATCTATAAGTGATTACTGTAGTTATGTTTGGGGTAATTTCGTAACATGGAGAAATAAAAAAACAATCCGTTGTAGCACGTAATACTGTAGAGACAAAGCATCGAACACTATCTCCTGGCATATGCGAAGGAATCTGGATATAACGATTGTTGAGAGAACTAAACATGTCCCATACAAGACTTATAAAAATGTATTGTGACAACTAGGCATCTGTCAACATAGCACATAATCATGTTCACCATGATTGTACCAAACACATGGAAATTGATTGTCATTTCATCAAAGAAAAAAATTAACTCGGAGATGTTTGTGTTACCTATATACCTACGATACAATAAATTACAGACTTATTGACCAAAAACTTGAGCATAAACATGTTTGAAGAAATTATTAGCAAGTTGGGTTTGATAAATATCTACACTAGGAGAAGTGTTGGAATTCCTAAAATTAAAGATAGATTGCTTACCTTGTTCCTAGGAGTTTCTTTGTACATAATGATCTAATCTTGTGGGCTTAGTTCGGATTCTCACTCTGAGACGCGATTTGTTGAAGGGAGTGCCACATGATCCATTGATTGTTATAGGGCCTTCACAGCCTCATCGATTTCTAGATGCATACAAGAGACTTGAAGATCTAGATATGCAGTTCTTGGAAAATAAAGCCACAACGGTAACTTCATGGGAAACTTTCAAGTTCAATAACGAATCGGACAAAATTAGGGGTGTAAAAAGTTGACCCGACCTGCAAAACTGACTGAAACCGACTCGAGTCAAAACTGTTTTTGACCTGCGTTGTGGCAATCCGAAACCGACTCGAGTCGGAACTGGTATTGACCTGAAGCCGAGTTGGACCTGTAAATTGTGGATCTGAACCCGACCTGCATCCGACCTAAGAATGATCTGAACCCAAATTGAACCGAAAATATGATACCCGAACCCGAACTGCATCCGACTGATATGAACCCGAACCCGAGATTGACCTGGTAAATAACTGATATTATCCGACCTGTTTTCAGCCTGACCTGTTATGAACCTGACCTGTAATTGACTCTACCTGTAAATGATCTGACATGTTGTTAAAGTGATTTGATATTATCCAGACTTATAAGTAATAAGTTACAATTAATATAATTATGTTATTTTAAATTTATAATAAACTTATGATAATTAAATTAATATGATTACTTTTTGAAATTTAGTTTTTTTAATTATAATTTGTATATTATAAATTAGATTTTTTATATTAATTCTAATTCTTTATATTATTTATAATTCTTATATTATAAATTTTATTTATAATCACTAAATTAAATTTAAATATTGTCTTATTGAACATGATTTTATTAAATTATATAAATTGAGTTAAAATATTCATAAATCTAATTTACTTTAAATGTTAAAATTATTTAATAATTTAAGTATAACTTAACTTAAAATTTTAAAATAAAAACATATTAGTTAAAATGATGAACTTATTAAAGATTTAAAACTCGAATAACATTACAAATACTAAAACAAAAAATTTATAAATGAAATTAATTTTATTACACTTGAAAACACTAAAATTACAATAAAATCAACTAAACAAAATAAATTTATGTTGGAATAAATGATCTCAGATCTTATATCTAAGGTTTTACAAGACTAAAAACCTAGCTATACTACCAGAAATATCATCATTGAGCCTTTATACCTAAATGGTGTCAACATGTTTAATTATGGGCAACTTTTTAACTTTAAAAGCCAAAATGCCACCAACATAATTTCACATGGGTAACTATTTAGATAAGAATTTATAAGATTCAAAAATTGATTTAAGTCAGACAAACAAATAATAATTTACAAGGCATCAATGAATAATAAATAGCAGCAACCGACAAGCATTAATGTACCAATTCAGCAAGCATCATTGCATCAATTCAGCAAGTATACTGCATTAAGAAAACATACAATCAGTGGTAAAGACAAAGGGAATTTGATGGCCAACAGTGCCAAACATTTCCGACTTTATCAAATCCTTACAATTCAGACATAGTCTGCATTGAGATTCCATAGCAAAACTACTGAGGCACTTCAAGGTTCGGTCTTTGGTCAAATACTTCCCTAGTTGATTCATCCGGAAATGCATCTGGATAGGTAGCCATAATTTTTGCCTTCATGCTCCTGTAGAAAAACATAAATAAGCGGGGGGAGAGACGAGAGAGAGAGACTTTCTGGATTAGATAGGATTTAAATATAAGTACGTTGTGCAGACTCAAGTCAGAAAACTGCAATATGTTGAAAAGTATAAATCCATACAGAAAAATAGGCATAGAGGATTCTGGAAAGCAGACTGAGATGCTTATCCTGATATTCAAACATTGCTAATTGAAGCAGGAGTGAAATGTTTATCCTGACATTCAAACATTGCTAATTGAAGCAGGAACTGTAATTCTAAAAATCACAATCAGTTTATGCTTTCTTTAAGGGGTTATCAAATGTAACTTTTAGGGGAAAATATGTCTATGCTTATTCAGTAGAGGTTAGAGAAGGCCTAACAATGCATGGAACGCATCCTTAAGCTACATTTATACAAAGAGTACTAAAAACATTTCCCAATTTCGCTGATATATATCTAACAAGACAGAAAATGAGTCTAGGAAAGCTAGTTGTGTGAACTCTATATTGGCATAGTACAACAGCCAGATAATAAGGCAAAAATAGTTACTATGAACAGTCACTGGACACAATCCCCATAGTCTTGAAAATTATATAAGGAAACTGCAGAGGTTAGATCTGAATAAACATTTAAGAACCTTCACATATATCATACTTTAAATGTCATCATAGAACACTATAAAAGAAAATAACTTATTTACTGAAAATCTCATATATAGCCAACTAAAAGTTAAAACAATAACTTCTACCTGAGCTTTTGAAAGATATAATCAAGGCCCGACTTCATACATTTTAACATGCGTGTATTTCTTGAAAAGTCACTGGAAACATCAGCAAAGCAATGTTCTGAGTACTCGTTAAAATGAGATAAGACCGCATTGCTGTCTTGTAGCCTTCACAAGCTGCAAGTTATGGCACACAATCAAATTATAAAAAAGACCTATAATAATACAGGAATAAAGATTGCTACTCAAATCTAAGTAGGGTATTTATAGGTTACAAGAAACAATCTAAACCACTCATTAAAATAAACACTAAATAATCTAAACCATTGAAATTAAAACATGAGAAAAATACTTAATTTTCACCTAACTAAATTGATGTAAGCAATGACATCAAAACTAAATTGATGTAAGCAATGACATCAAATTAATTTAGGTAT